TTTTCACTGGTTACTAATTTAGATGTTCTTTGGTCTTTCTCCTTCTCTTTGCCACCACCCACGATACCAGTCCAGGGCCGACTGGAGGGGCAGTGGAGTTTGGAAAAGTAAGGGGTGTTGGGTGGGGTGGGGGGCGCACATGTTAGAGCTCCCGGAAGTGTTTGAGAAAATTCCATCCCTGGGATTGGCACTGAGCAAAGTCAAATGTTTAACAACAGGAATTAAAGATTGCTAGAAGCCAAATATTTGCCAATGTTAATGGGCCACGCAGGGTCCCTTCCTTAAGGTGACACAGGCCACTATGTGTCACTGTGTGGACTACAATCTTATGTTTAGTTTAATCCTTTGCATTGAGATTGTAGTCCATCACAGGAGTGAGCTTGGAGTGGTGATTAGTCTACAACACACCCAGGAACCATGGGGAACAAAAGTAGCCACCCTCTAGAAGGAAGGACAGTGTCAGCACCAATTCAGAGATGATTGGAGGATCTACAGCCGAGTGATACACAAATAAGATACATTTTTGTTAATAGTTAGGGGACTTGAATGCATTTTTCAGGTTTAACTCCTGAGTTTAGTGTCACTTTAAGCAAAATCAGTAGGAGTGAAGATTTCTGCAGCAGCTGTTTTCTATCCTGGAGAGCCACATCTGTACAGTCAGAGTGCCCCCTTGTGTACACCACTGGTATGTGCACAGCTATGAAGAATGAAGCACTGAAAATACCAAACAGCATCTATGGGAGTTATTCACTAAGCTTCCAAAGGGAGAATAACCAAGCTGAAGTTAGGTGAGCCGAACACCGTTTGGCTATTCACTTCAGCTGAGTATGGCTGGCTTCGGCTCCCTTCAGTTTAGCTGTACATGTTTAGCAAAGTGAAGAACACGTTCAACTCCAACATCTGAATCGGGTGAGCCAAACCTCTGGCAGTTCACTCACTGCCGTTCGCCCCCTATTCTCATAGGAGCCGAACGGTAGTCAGTGAATAGCTGAATGCCATCGAACGGCATTCGGCTTGGTTCTTCTGCTCGCTACCTCAGAGGTAGCGAGCAGAATAAAAAAAAATGTAAAGAAAAAAATAAAATAACGCATGGGGCCCCCCTCCCGATCCATATCAGACCCTTTGGGTCTGGTAGGTAAGTTAGGAGGGACTCCAAGTCAAAAAGTTAAATCAGTGCTCGGAGGGAATGTGGCCTGGTATGTTGCAGGGGGGCGCAAGCTCTCCCACCACCACCCCCTGCACTATACCAGGCCACGTGCCCTCGGCATTAGGAGAGTGCTTTTCCAGGGGGAGGGGGGGGCATGTGTCTCTTCCCCACAAGCCAGTCACCGTGGACAATGATGGACGTCATGAAGACCTTTTACGTTGGTGGTTTAATTTTTGGGATTTTTATTTTTTATTAAAGCAATGGTCAAAACCTTTTTTTTGTTGTTGCAATTAAATTATTTTTTTATTAAACTGTGGCCTGTTTTTTTACGTTTTACATTAACCCTTTAGTGAATGAGTAGGGGTAGAAGTACACCTTACTAATTCACAAGGGTTAATTAAAGGGTTACCCCGATGCAAATAATCCCCCCTGCCCACAGACCCCCACAACCAACGGGTCAGGGCTTGTGGGGAAGAGGACCTTGTCTGCATTATCACGGGGACAAGGTGCTTTTCCAGGGGGTACCCTGGAAAAGCACCCTCCCAATGCCGAGGGTATGTGGCCTGATATGGTGCGGGGGAGGGGGGGATCGCTTGCCCCCACTTTCCTGCCCTGCCTGGCCTGCGCTCGGATTAAGGGTCTGTTTGGGAATTTTAGGGGGGCCCCACTTTAACCCCCCCCCCATTTTTTGGGGGTGGGGTTCCTCCTTAAAAATATTCCTACCAGACCTTAGGGGTCTAGTATGACTTTTAGGGGAACCCTATGCTTTTATTTTTTTTTTT